AATGACCTGCCCCCCGACCTACGTACAATTGCGGACCTGCGCCTCTTCCGCCGAGCCCTGAAAACTCATCTGTTCCATGTGGCCGGCCTGGCGTAGTTTTGATTGGGTTTTGTTAGGGGTTTTATATTTTAGAGCAGGCTTTTATGTAATATTTACTGTGATTTTTATTATTGCCTGTTCACCGCCCTGAGTCCCGTAAAGGAGATAGGGTGGTATATAAATTTAAATAATAAATAAATAAATATTCTTCCCTTAATTATGAAATCTCTGAACAAGTAAATTCTCAATCAGTGATATGGTAAAGGCTAATAGCATAACTATAATAACACACAACTCCTCTGCATATCTAAATTGGGGGTGGGCAACTATGGCCCTTTATGACCTGAGCCAGCATGTCTGGATGAGGAATTCTAGAAGTTAAAGACCACAAGTTGTAAAGGGGCCATAGTTGCCCATCCCGATCTAAATCTTTTTGTTTGTTTTTGATTTTTTTCCTCATTCCCCACAACCTTCCTGAAAATGAGACCTGGAAGTTCTTATGACTACAATCTAACAAAATGCTTATGGGTGTGTGGGTGAGGAAAAGAGGAGGTGAAATAAATGTCTAAAATGTCTAAAATAGAGTCAAGAAATAAATGTCTAAAATCATTTCAAAGGCTCTGAAAGAATGACAGACTTATGATTTTTTTTTTCAAAAATGGGAATCTAATATGCCCTCGTATTCTCCCCACACAGGTAGTCCCCACTTAATGTCCAGTCAATGATCATTTGAGGTTACAATGGTCTCAGAAAGGGTGCCTTATGGCCAGTTTGTTAAGAATTCGTAATACTCACCACTGAGATGCTGGTCAGCAATGTCACGATCCATGGTGACTATTTCAAATTACTCCGGTTACCTGCAAAAACATATAAAGAGAAGCCAAGACAAAGAGATTATGGTACGGTCACCATGCAGGATTGTCTAAAAGCACAGAAGTCTTTGCCCTCTATATAGGGTCACTTAAGGCTCTAATCTTTTTTCTGGTTGGCCCCGTACTTCTTCTCACAGTTATTATCACAACAAAAAAATGTCATTCCACCACAATCTATGTGAAAGCATCCCTTTGTAAATTTGAATTCCCTTTTTTTCCCCTGGGAAACATAACCCTCTAATGCAGGGGTCCTCAACCTTGGCAACTTTAAGACTTGTGGACTTCAACTCCCAGAATTCCTCAGCCAGCAAAGCTGGCTGAGGAATTCTGGGAGTTGAAGTCCACAAGTCTTAAAGTTGCCAAGGTTGAGGACCCCTGCTGTAATGCTACTTTGTATACAGCAGTGTCAACAAAGGCCTTTGCTCTTACCTTTAATGTATGCATCATCCCATAAAGGCGATGGGAAGATGTGAAGGTGAACAATGACAGTCATACAGTACTATTTCTTCATCCCGTTATGCTACTAACACAGTTTTATAGCAGCTCTATACAGAAGTTTATCTTCATTACTATAAAGACTACTTATGTGAAACAACCCTTTGATTTGAGGATTGTTTCACCACCACTACCACTACCACATCCCTATTATTGTTAAGCTGCCATAAAGCCAAAAAGGGCCTCCCTTCTCCAGTTCAAGGTTTCTTGGGTTGATTTATTTATTGGGTTGATTCAAACTCAACTTCCAACTCTTAAAACTAATGGGCTAAGTTAATCATGAGTTAACACAGAATTGATTTAGCACCTACTAAATTTCAATGGAATTCAATGTAAGCAAAATATTATTAGCTTTCAATCTATCAGAAATAGAAGGGGCCTTCATGAAATAAACATGTATAGCATTGCAGCTTTAATCAATCCAATCCACTATGTTTACAGAAACATGAGACAGTTAAAAAGGCTGCTACCTTGTTTCCAGACAAGTTACTGGCCCTTTAATAGATGGATGAAGGTCAACAATTCAAAGATTGCAGCTTTCCCAAACATGAGCTGGAAGAAAATTGATTTTTGTCAACCATGCAGGTATTATAAATCTGTGTCAGAAAAAAAGAAGTGTACAGGGAACCCTACTGGTTAATAGTTAGGTTGATTAATCTGCATCTTGAGAGCATTTTAAAATTCTGCTGTAGACAAGACTATTATGGATCAGTTGCTGCTGAGAATTCAGACTACAGAGATTTCATTTCACACAGTCAGCCTTATGTTAAACACTTCAAGCTGACTGTAATCAAACAGTGAAAGCCATTGGGGAATAAGGAAAGATCCAATGCCATAGTTAAAATCTGTAGGATGATTCCCTTTGGGAGGGTTCTAGATCTTTAAAAAAACAAGCTTGCAAATAAAGAAAATCTTTGAGGAAGAGTAAAAAATATGTGTATGATATTAAGTTTCTAATTTTTTAATGCTCAAAGTTGCTTTAATTTATAGAGGTCATCACCAGGGTTCCTTCCTTTACACTAATATGGTACATTTATAGTGGCAACTGTGGCAATCATATTAATTAAATCTTGAAACCTGTATTATAAAGCTCTTCCAAGCAGCAGTAGTGTCCTGAAATGCTGATAGACAAAATATGTTTAAAATCTCAATTTCTGTTCTGGGGATTTATGTGTGATAAGATTCTAAAATGTCTTTGGTTTTCCATGAGTCATTGATATATGATTTTTTGTGGCAATATTTCATTAAAATATGATTTTCAAATAGGGTATCTGGGATTAGAGGTCAAGATTGCTGAAACTTTGCAAAAGCATTTTAAGTAACCTGCCAATGGGGGAGGTCTGTTTTATTTTACATTCCTGAAGATTTTTTGTTTACTGGTAAAGAATCACTACATTATTCCATTTCATGTTCAGCTAATGAACTGTTGGATATGGATTTGCTTGAGATCATCCTGTTTAGCTGATAACCTTTTGAGCAGTTCCCAGTGTTTAACACCAATAATTTCCATGAAGATTTTTTAAAAATAAAATGTTAAATGGTCAACTGTCATATCTTGGGGAAAAATGTCCAAAAATGTCTGATTCTCAATATGCTGTGATGTTTGTATGTACTGTATGTGTATAATATACACACACACAAAAATATATATACTTTCTTTTTCTCTGTGTCTTTCCCTCCCCCCTCAAGACTTCTGGCAAACCACAGTCTAATTGGATCCCAGGCTGCTTCACACATGCTTATCATGGAACAGCAGAGACTTCACAGCAGTGGATGAATATCATGATACAATCTTGAATGTGAGATTCCATACATAGGAACTCTCTCATGGAAGACATCAGCCAATCAGTCAAGTGGATTTTCAGGACGGTGGACAGCTCTAAATAACAACTTGCTCTAGCAAATCCTGGCATTCAACTGAGCCTATCCCTTTCTGATGGGAGCCAAGCATTGTCTTTGAGCCTCCTGTCAGTCCCCAGCTGCTTGAATATCAAAGCATATTGGCAAGAAGACATTCAGATGAATCTTGATTAGGGGGCTCAATATGGTTTGTCTCTCTCAAGAAGTAGTTCAATTTTGGTGTTATAAAGTTTTGGTTTGGATCTACCACCTTGATAATCTGCACTTCTAAGTCATACCATCTGTCTTGCTCTTCTACTTTGGAATTAAAATTATGGTCATTGTTTAAGGCAGGGGTAGTCAACCTTGGCTCTTTTATGACTCGTGGACTTCAACTCCCAGAATTCCTGAGCCAGCACAGCTGGCTCAGGAATTCTGGGAGTTGAAGTCCACAAGTCATAAAAGAGCCAAGGTTGACTACCCCTGGTTTAAGGTTAGACTTAAGCCATCAGTGTGCCCATTCCCCCCTTCCAAAAAGAACAACCTTTGAAATTCAAATAAAGGATACTTTAAGTACAAATCTATGTTTCAGTTTATACAATCTTTTTATATAACAGTCTATTTTGTGTTAACCAAGAGTATTATAATATTAAAAGTAGTAGGAGACTTAGTGGCATGTTCTTGTACATTCATATTACAAAATCTCCAAAATTGTACAAGAACATGCCACTAAGTCTCCTACTTTTAATATTATAATACTCATGGTTAACACAAAATAGACTGTTAT